CCCCAAAACCCCAAAACCCCAAAACCCCAAAACCCCAAAACCCCAAAACCCCTTTAAGTTACATTCTAGTTGAAAATTATGTAGCTTAGTCTCACTAAAACCTTATGTTAAAATGTTAGTTAATCTGGCAGCAAATCAGTGAGATGGCTTTCTAATAGACTAAGTCTCACCTAAATATCTTAACAAGAGTCAGAGTTCTTTTCAGAGTTTCTATGGTTAGCCTTCTTGAGCTTTAAGAAATCTGTGTAATCATCCTCAAGCAAACTATGCTTGAGATGTTCGTCTTCATGGATCTCATTCTTCAGCTTCATTAAAACAGAGCGATTGATATCTTTTGGATGAATATGAATGTTAGAGTACTTCTTGTAGTAATAGTACTGAGCTAGTCTTAGCAATATCCTCTTATCCTCATTCTTCTTTCGGATCAAAATCTTATCTCTGTAGCCAGGGTTTTTACCCTTATGGGCTTTGGCACGATGACCTCCTAATCCTTGGGATGAGAAGTACTTCCCTCAGTCAACTCATCTTCTGTTATTCTTCTCAGTTTCTAAGACAGTACCTGACGACTTCCTAACTTGAACTTTTTGCTGTGAAGCTTTCGTGCTTTTCTTAGAGGTTATTTTCTCGGTTAGCTTCTTCGTAGCATTTTCAGAGATTTCAGTAAGATCATTCTTAGAATCTTCGTTAGATACTTCTTTTGGCTTGAGATCTTCTTCATTCTGTTTATTAAGTTCTTCGGATACCTCATTTAAGGATGGCGTCTCTTCCTTCAAGTCTGAGATTTCTATCTTCGGAAGCTTGTGTATCTTCTTCTCTTCTACAGGTTCTTCTAAGGACTCTTCTAGTTTACAGCTACTCTTTTGTTCTGAGATGAAGCAATCATAAACTCTTTTAGAATCTTTCTTTAGAGTGATGAGCCATTCGTTGATCTTCTTGGAAGCAGAAGGCTTCAGGGACTTCTTAGTTGACTTCCTTTTTTGATTCTTGGCCTTCTTCTTTGGTTTCTTCTTTTTAGGCATATGTAGAGGCTTCTCTTCGTCGATTTCAGGTATGGAAAGCATAGGTTTGACATTTCTGAGAGTGTCACTTGGCTCGATTTCGAACTTTAATTTAGTATCTTCATATTCTTGAGAGGGGTTAAAGGGAGAGACTTGTCTGTGTTCAGGAGCAACAGGAGGAGGAGTAGACTCAGCAACCTTCCTTATATATTCTGGGTTGAAGCATGCGCTCATTTGGGATTGTCCCATAGGGCTAGAAGGAGGATCTAGCCTAAAACTATCCCTCTGGATGCTTATCAATGAGAGTCTTCTTCCAAATTCAGAGTCTATAAAAAGTTACTAATGTGCTTATGATAAATATCTTCGGTTATAATTTTAGTCTAATTGATTTTGAAAAAGATTCAAACTAACTTTTAGAAGAATATTTTAGATTTAAGTAAGAATTACGAAAGATACATTATAACTTACTCTGATTTCCTCTGTGCATCTTCGAGTAAAACACTTCATGAGGCTCCTTAGTAATCGCGCCTGAATAATTGGACCTCATATCTCAATTTTCTGTGGGTAAGAGGAACTTACTCCCGAGTTTTGCACAATGTAGCTGGAGTTCTCTTTGATGTGCTGGATCAATTATCTGGCTACCATTTCTATGATCTCTTCGGAAGACGAGGCTTGACTTGTGACCAAAATTTGCAGAGGCTCTTCTTGTTGAGTGATAATAAGTAAAGGGTGCTGGCTTCTTCTCAGAGAAAGGATTATAGCAAGGATTTCTTTCAGGAGTACGATAACAATTTCTAAACGCTGAAGGCGGGGCTTGCTCTATCATGTCTATAAAAGAGCTTCTTTTCTTTGGCTCTTTGAGAGGGATTGAGTTGTTATTCATTATTAATATTACTCTTAACTCAAATTTTTAAACTCCTGTAGGGGTTTTGGGGTTTTGGGGTTTTGGGGTTTTGGGGTTTTGGGG